CAGAGCCAGAGAGTCGCAGGGAAGAGGGAGAGCAGGGGGTCTGGAGTGCAGGTGAGCAGGGGTGGCATGGGGAACGGGTGGCGTGGAGACAAAGGGGTGCAGGGCGGGCGCAGCAAGCTGGGCGGTCGACAGGGAGTGGTCTCTCACCGGTGAGGGGGTTGGGGCCACGGCAGGACTGGAGCCGGCAGGGCGGGGCCTGGCTGCGCCACAGCCAGCTCCCAGGGACACGCAGCCAGAGCCGAGCTGCTGTGGCCCTTTAAAATCAGTGGGGCCATGTCACGCCACCATCCTGGCATCTGCCGGCATCCCACCCTCTGGCTCGTGCCCCGCCTCCTTGTGCTGGAGCTGCACACAGGCAGCCCGGTGCTGAGAATCACTGCGCTTCCCCCTCCCAGCGGCGCTCCACTCCTCCGCCTGGCCAGCGGATTGGATGGGGCCGCGCTGCCTGTAGTGCAGGCTTTGGCCAGCCCGTCACAACGGCCCACCGGGCCAGTCTGCCCCTGCACTCACCAGCTGGAAAAATCTACTTGCCACAGGCGAGTGCATTTGTCGAGCCCTGTTCTTCGGTGTCCATACATGCCTTTTTCTGGGAAAAAAAAGTTTTTTCAGAAAAAGGCTTCTTCCTCGTAGAAAGAGGTTTACTGCTGTGGGAAAAACCCCTCTATTCTTTCAACTTTCTGTCAAAAGAACACAATAGCCGGGTGGACATACCCATAGAAGTGTGTGGCCCTTGACCAGTTTCCAAATTCTTGAAATGCCCCTCCCCCCCCCCCCCCCAGGTTGCTGCCTCTGTATCATAGGCAGAGGCAGGAGGAGCTGCTGTGTAGGCACACCTTTAAGGGTGAGATTTATAAAGGTATTTTGGCAGCTGAAATTGCTGATTAAATATCTTTCTAGCTCCAAATTTAGGTATCTAAATACCTTTTTAAATCTGGCCTTAAAACTCTCTGGCTGTTACTACCAATCATGGAGGAAAAGGTTAATGTAAGGGTGGGGAATACTAACATAGGTCAACTTTATCTGTTGGTTTCCTGTTGTAAAATTAGGATACCACCACCTATCCCACTGGGGTGTATTAATGCTTATACAATGTTCAAAAATCCTCAGAGGTGGGGCCTACAAAAGTGATAGTTATTACTAGTTATCCCCAGATTTTTTTCCTTGGCCCTGAATAGCCCTCCATCTACTATTACTGTTGCCATTCTGGTCTACTGTTACAGTGCCTACCTGTTTCTTGCAGGGCCAGAGAACGTTTTGATTAGAGATGTAATAGTATAGTCAATTTACCGATATGCAAAAGCTTATCGGTTAATGCTGTAAAACTACATGTATTTTCCCCCAGTAGATTCTTTAGCAGGATAGTCAACAGCCTGGGCTTGTGCCGGGTCTGGGACCTACCCCTGCTGTGGCTCTGCATTTGAAGTGTATCAGGAGCATGGTGGAAAGGCAGCCCAGCTCAGTTCCAGCTCGCACCAGGTTTGGGAGCTCAGATAGGGGCTGCTGTCACCCTGCACTGCTGCCTCTGTATCAGAGGCAACAGTGTGGGGCAACAGGCAGCCAGTCTGCAAGGGGGAGCTGGTCTTTGAACTGGCTCCCCTCATGGGCCAGCTCCTGCCTAGCATCCCATGCTGCTGCCTCTGATAGCGAGGCAGCAGTGTGGAGTGTCAGGGGGCTCCTAAGGAGTGGGGCCAGAGTGTACGGCTGCTGGCCCCACCGCTGGGGACTATAGAATAGTCAAGTAACTGATAAAAATTCATGAGGTTAATCAACTATTCATTTACTTGATATTTAACTGCCCGAGTTTAGATACTGGCTCAAATAAGGCGTGGCATACACTTGCACTGCCACAGGGTGAGGATGAGAAAGTACATTGTCTTTTGGGCTGTTCACAAAGGCAGAGATTCTGCACAGGCTACAGTTTGCATAGGATGGCAGAGCCACAGAGTTGTGGCCTCTATGCCTTGCTCCTTTATAGGGTTCTGAGTACCCCATAAATGGAGCATTTGGTACTCACTGAAGTACTGAAATTGTATTTGACACATTCTCACCATGGCTGTCATGGTTAACCCCATTTGATTTATTATTTGAAATAATTTCAGGTGGTTGATGGGTTTCTTTCCTTAGGCAGAGCTTTCTCCCTATAGTCAGCTACTGCACTCCATTGACTCAATGGGAGCTTTTTCCCCTGACTAAAGATCACCACTGTCTTTTTTTTAATTGAACTTAGAAAGTGACTTTAAGGGCCAATCCTTTAGCTTATGTGCAGGGTGAACTCCCAGTGGCAACTTAGTTAGAGCATTCTTTAAGTGGTTTTGATAATTTTTTGTCCCTTCTAGGAAATTTGCCTTCACCCCTCCGATGAAGAGAAAAATACTTTCTCTTTACATGAACCAAAGTTATTAGTGGTTTCTCTTTCACTTTGGCTATGTCTACACTACAGGTTTTCTTGGAAAAAAAATATGCTAACGAGGGACTCATTTGCATGAGTCACAATCTCATTTGCATATTTTCTACCAATCCATTTTTGCGTTGGGGTTTTTGCACAAAAACAAGCAGTGTGAATGTTTTCTTTTTGTGCAAAAACCCCCTTTTCTACAAGATCGGTAAACCTCCTTTTTTGGGGCATAAGGATCTTGTGAAAAAAAGGGCTTTTTGCTCAAAAAGAAAACATCCACACTGCTTGTTTTTGCACAAAAACCCCACCACAAAAACGGATTGGCAGACAATATTCAAATGAGATCACGACTCATGCAAACTAGTCCTTCATTAGCATTTTTTGGCCAATAAACCTCGTCTAGATCTAGCCTTTTTTTCCTGGGGAGAAGACTCAAGAATGCATTCTCATAACAGTGCCTAGTATTTCCACTTTGTGCTCTCTTTAGTTATGTCTGTATAATTTAGAAATGTGTATCTGTCTGTCTGTGAGTCTTTGTTCAAGAACTCATAAGTGGTAAAAGCTAGGATTGCCAAATTTTGTTGCAGCTTCCTCTTTTCCTAACTTAAAGCAAGGTCAGGGTTTGGCTGTGCCAAGAAAACAGGAAGTACCAGGAATGGGATTGTGTTCTATATCATGCAAAGGGAGGGGCACAGAGGAGGGATGTGATACTGAGAGTAGCCACTGGGGGGGCAACTGCACCACAAAGATAGTGGCCAACAAGGCTGGGGCTCTGCCTTCTTAACAAATAAGTAGCCCTCCGGCCTTTCATACCCTTGGTGATAAAAATAAAGGCCCCTGGTGGCTCCAGCCTCCTCTGTTCCTCCAAATCCTCAAGGCCTTCTCCTGAAGGACCTGGGTAACACCAGGTAAGTCTTCTAGTGTGTTTATACTAGATGTATACATAGTTGCTTCTCTTTTTAAATATGTCTATACGCTTATTTACTTCCAAATTCCTAAATGTTTCTTTCCTTTGCTGTTAATTTCCTTCAAAATTTTTTGCTTTCCCCATATTACTTGTCCCTCAAATTTGATTATATACAGAAATTTTAAAATATATATGTAATGCTACATTGCTATTGTAACATAATCTTTATAAACTTGGATTGAATTTTGTTGCATTTTTTGTGAAACAGCATTTCCTTAGCCTTCCATCCATCAGCACCACACAGACTTCAGCCATTATAGCAAAATGTCGCCAATTGTCACTGAAGTCTGTGGCACTTCTTATGTAAATAAAGGGACATAGGATTGGACCTTTAACTTGACACTGTAGCTTTTCTACACTTACATTAGTCCTCTGTCTTTGAGCTTTTGCACTGACATAATTTATCATATAGCCAAGTTTTAATCTCTGTAATTATTACTGAAAAATAAAATGGTGGGTTATTTGCCAGGTTCTAACCTAAAGTGGAAACAAAATGGCCAACAGATTAAACTGAAAAGATCTACAGCTGTTAAGAATTTTAACTCTAGCTATACTATTGGAATTTCTGCAAGAAGCCTTACTTTGCAAGTTTCCAACAAATGTGCGAGCCCTTTTTCAGAGACTAGTTAGTTTAATGTGGGCCACAGTTGTCAGCTGTGGTAACAAAGTGGGGAGTAGATTTTTCAGTGAACCTATCTTTGCATATCCAAGTGGCTCCCTATGGGCTTTTTTAATGGTGCCATCTGTAGCTTGATACAGCTTGTGCTGGGGTAATGGGAAGTGAGGCAAAAATGTCCAAGTCACCTTTTATGCCTGCCTCGGTCATCAGTCCAACCAGGGCCAAGATCAATCAGAATGCCGTGGATTTATTCGGCCCTCCTGTGCTACGTGCACAGAGGATAGGAGAGCCAGCTACAATGATTCCCATTGACCAAGTGACTCTTTAGCTGTTCTTTTAGGATCATGAAGGAGGGAAAAAATATAATGCTTAAAAAATGTATGAATTATTTTGTCACTCAAGTGCCTGTATATATTGAAGAGTTCAAGTGTGACAACTGTTTAAAAAGAGTGAACAGAAATAATATAGATCAATCCCATAGTGGTGGTGTGGAATTTCTGAATGTCTCTTCTACACCCTCTACAGGCATGGAGCTTCCCTTTGTTAATGGATAAAGAGAACAGAAAGGTTTTGAAGAGACCAACCATGCAGAGAACTGTGTGTTTACATTATTGTTCAGTGTGTGGAGTGTCTGCCTACCCTATTTTCCTTTATTTTGGCTAAAATATTATTTACTTCTGGAGTAAAATATGTCAATGTTCAAAGAGCAAAGAATGTATTAATTACATACATTGGAATTTGGTAGACACCCTTGATACACCATCTTCTAAATACTTACAGCTGAAATTAAAGCAATGCAGTTGCTTTGGGAGTGTGTGTGTGTATAGTTGTCTGGATCTAAATGGTTACAAGGGGTTCTCTGCTAGTGAAGGGGAGGGGATAGTGAGAGTGCATTCCCAAAAAAGTACATTCCCAAAATAAGTAGCTTACATCACAGACCTCTTCAGTTTTCCCACACTTCTCTCCTAATTATTGTCCCGCAGGACAGCTGATCTATTTCAAACAGGAAGTTGTTTACAGATAACACTTGCAACTGTTCTGTCTGATTTGTTGAACTGTCGAAAAGCAAAAGACAACATCTTTTCAAATTAAAAACTGTCAGATTTCTGTAAACAGCAGCATGAGGGTCATTTATGCAGTTTTCCTGCAGGCAGCGTGTGCTCTGCAGTCCCCATTTTCTCAGCAATCATAAGGTAGGAGAGACTTTTGTGGTTTTACTGATTAGAAACATGTAAGTAGGAAAGTCTGGATCTATGATAGACCTGTCATGTGAGTGGCAACATTCAAAGTGTTATTGACAACTGGTGTAGGTTAGGGGAAGGGAAGAAACAAAGTTTGATGTGCTGTTATCTGAGACATAACATGAGCCTCAGAGCTTGCAAAAAGCCTGTGTGATTTAGCTGACAAGTCCCTTTTTAACTTATGATTGGTTAGTGTCAAAAGTACTTCTGAGCAAAAGATAGTGAATTAAAATAAAGTGGGTTTTTTTTAAGTATTCTAAACAACTGAAATTGTTCGGAATGTGTTTACTAACATCAAAACCAGTGGCTATGAAGTTATTTAATCAGAACGTGTTTTTGTCTGTTCGGCAATTAAATCCCGTATGTTCTAAAGTGGCAAGAGAGAATTGGCTGTGGTTCTTCCTGACATAATCCATGTCAGTATTTAAGACTGAAAATGCTAAACACGTTTCTCAGTTTTTGTTCTGGGACACGAGGCTGTCTTCATCTATTATGAAAGATGAGTTTTTATAATGTAGTCCCAAAGCAAGGAATAGAAGACATGATGCATTGGTGTCATACTGAAGTAGCTTGTAGACTATCCAGTAATGACAGAATACACCAATAAATGGATAACTTAGTAGGGATGGGGTCAAAGGTAATTAGGACTGGGATTAATGGTACGTTGGATAAAGGGAAATTTTATAAAAATTAAAGGTTTATATGTATGCAGTTTATGGATGTGGATATTGGCTGAGAGATTTGGGAGGGGAAAAGTTTCTTACAAAATTGAGTTTCTAATTAGATGAGTTCTTCACCACTTCATTTTTCACTTCTCCATACAAAGAAATTAAACCCTTCAGATTAAATTATTATAATTAATTACTAGTCACAAGTTACTCTGAAAATATAGTTGAAAGATAACAGTAATTTTTTTGAGTGTTTTGATGTTAGATATTTCATGCTTTACAAGCATGGTCATTTAAAGCAGCAAAGATACTGGAGAATGTGAACCAATCATTGACATAAAGAAAAGACCACTGATGCCATTTTTATTAATCTAATTCCCATCATTCTGTGGTATCATTTATTAAAACTACCTGTAAAACATTGATCAACATACACAAAGGTATTGCATTTTTATCTAATAGCTATGTAATCCATCTGATTAGAATTGAAGCATATCAGGCAAAAAGATACTGTGCCTCTGATCCTGTAGTTGGTTGTGAATATTTTTTTTGATAATGTTTTAGTTTATAGTAACCTGAGAATGTTTGTAAACTTCTGGGGAAGAGACTGACTTTTGCTGTGTGTGACAGAAAACAGTGCTGATGTTGTTGGTTAGGATCTCTACACACTTTCTGTAATGCAAATAATAGATTAAAGAAAATCTTTCTGACAATAAGTAGGTGGCTTTTGTTTGGTATGGGTTTTTTACATTGTGTCCCTTTAAGAATAATTGTTTTAAGATAATTCACTCTAAATGTGAACATATGCCCAGATAGAATCACGTAAATGAGTGTGTTCTGTTTTGCTGACACTTCTAAATATGCAAGTCATAATCCAGTTTCATAACTTATCCTGTGACTTTGCCTGATGACCAATAGAGAACTGCATTGTGGAAGCAGAGTCCTATAACTTGTTGTAAGGATACCATTCTGAAATCTGTGTCAATTCACGTAGTCTGAAAACTTCATTTTTACTGTATAGTAGGATTGCTCAAGAATTTCAGTTTATATTTTTTAGAGAAAATTGGGAGTTTGACACTTCCATGAAGTGTCTTTTCTGTGGAAAATTATTAGTGGATTTTTATCAGAATATTTTTCAGCCATAACATTTTTGGCTAAAAATGGGAGTTGTAATTTGCTGCAAATCCCTGTTATTCTCTGAGCTGGAATCCCTAGCTGTACTACATCTGCCATACTACATCACCTTTTCTGGATGGATACCTGTGAATTATGGAAGATGTAGTCTAATTGGTGATCTTGGCCCATAGAAGAGAATGAGGATATGAGGCGCATACTACAGCTATCTGGAGGCATTACATCTGTTGATTGTAGTCAAAAATGTTTAATTTTACTAAAAACTCAACCCTTCCTATGGAAATCTTCCACATTCTCTCTCCCCCCATTTTTGTCAATTGGCTGTGTGTGTAAACTGCCTTGTTCTACTCCACAACTCAGCCTACCCATTACCAGCTCCCAAATAACCCAGGAAATTAGCCCAACTCTAGTAGTTAGCCAGCCCCTATAATGTTAGCAGTTGAAAACTTCACCTGTGTTTAGAAATCCAGGTTTGCTCTTATACAGTATCCAGTCCCAATGGTAATCATGGATTCCCTCCTAACTAATTAAAGTACTTCAGTACCAATAGTGTTGAGCATCCCAGCAGCTTTAATGTAGTTACTTTCCTACTTCAGAGTGATTGTGAAGGTGTGATCCGCATTTTACATTGGGTAGGTGAGGGTACTGAGGGACAGATTTTTTTTTAAAGGTATTTAGGCTTCTAAAGAGGCAGTTAGATAATGGGATTTTCAAAAGCACGTAGGAACCTAATTCCCAATGGAGCTTTTCAAAATTTCATGAAGGGTACTATCCAAAAGAGACTTCAGAGTAGCAATGCTGAACATCAGAGCCTCGAAAATTATAGGAACAATACCGTGGTGCACAAAGCTTGAGTTGGCCACCTAGGGCGCGTCTAGATTACATTCTATTTTCGAAAGAGGATATGCAAATTCTTCAGGAATTTGCATATCTTCCAATCACTTTTTTGAAAGCAGATCTTTCGAAAGTGAAAGTAGTCTGTATGTGCGGGGTTTTTTTGGGGAAAAAAAACCTTAAAAAAACC